AAGCTGACTTGATCAACAGTTTTCCTCATCAACAGCAGTACGTCAGCCATTTGAACTGGTGATTCGCTTCCATAAAATCATAACGATCTACAGAACGAAGAATAAGAGGGAGAGAAGAGGGACTTACCGAAAAACCTTTTTACCCTAAGCAAACATTCAGGGTTGAGGCGCCTTCGCTTTGTCAACAATATGCTATCCCAAACAGCTGGCTATCGTTCAAAGACAAGATGGCATCGGTGAGACAGCTTCCTTGCGGTTTTCACTACCTCTAGTCATACTAAGCCATTACCCCGCAGGTAACTCAGGAACAAACACAATGTAAAACAGGCACTCCGACTAGGAGACGGCAGCAGACATGCGACTGATGTCGACTGCGAGCCGTGTCCTGTAACGTCTCGAGTCAAGCACAAGGCAAGTCACGTGGACCGACGGCACCTAATTTGGTCGTCAGTGACTTCATTTCCCGCTGCCAAGTTAATATCTGTCCATATTGCGCCACCCCACCTCTGTCAGACAGAACAAGGCTCTCGGTAAGCGGTGACCAGGCGTACGTATTACGTGCCCAAGTCAGTGCAAATTATTCAGTGCCATATATTCTAAAGAGCCAGATTGGTGTCACTGCCTAGTACTCACCTACGCACATCATCATTGCGGACACGCTGGTGCCACCCGACACCAGCAATGCTCTGCAAACAGCGATGATCACAGACTTGAAGGTGCCGCAGCTCCTCAGATCCAAGGGGCCAAGTCTCACTACCATAGAGTAGGACGGCCCTCATTGTGGCATTGTAAACACGGCGTCTCAGACGGACGGAAACCCTTCTCTATCGCCAAAGATGTCACAGATTCTGAAAGGCGGTTCTGGCTTTTGCAATACGTTAACTGACTTCAGTTTTATGTCCGCCCATCGTTGCTATTACAACTTCAAAGGGATGTGGATTGATCAACCACCTCGAGTTCCTCGCAATCCGGGACCAACGGGTCATTAGTGACTGGTGGTCCTGTAACAACACTTTGCACTTCCAAGGTGCGAAGCGCATACAAAATAATGGGACTACTCTAGATAAACTGTCCAGGGTTGGTTGCGTCGCCCCAACATCGGTAAACAGCCAGACGATATCGTCCGCATAATCAAGATCAACTGGACTTTCACCACCCCGCACCTGCATCGTGAGACTCTGCAAAGGAACACTCTAGGATAGATTCTACGACGAAATTGAACAAAAATGGGGCAATTGGACAAGCCTGATGAACGTCACTTGTTGTCGGAAAGCTATCCGACAGGTCACCGTAGAGCCTGACGCGACCTGTAGTGTTCGAGTACAGAGCACGTAAAATTTCCACATATTTCATGGGAACACCTTTCCGCGCAAGTATTTTGAACAGAATCGATCGATCAACTGAGTCGAACGCACTCTTGAAATCGAGCAACACAGCTATTGTCGGTCTGCGGTATGCGTGGCGCTGCTCTAGCACCTGCCGCACAGTGAATATATGGTGTATGCAGCCCCGTTCTGGGCGGAAACCCGCCTGCTCTTCTCTACTCCTGGATTCCCTTTCCGCAATGAGGCGACGAACGAGAATTGCGGTCAAGAACTTTGTCATCACTGGCGTCAGGCTACTACCCCTGTGGTTAGCACAGTCGATGCGACATACTTTTCTTGTATGTTGCCACTATACTTAATTCACTGCAGTTAGCCGGGACAGTCTCCTCCTTCCATACACATTCGAACAGGGAGGTCAGTGCTCTGCAGATGACCTCAACTCCATCCTTAAATTGTGCAGGTAGCAAGAAAGGTCCGGGAGCAGGGGGCCAGCTGAACTGATCTTGAAAGTGTTCCGCTTAACGAGTCATACGGCGCTCCTTATTGTAAATCAAAGCACCCGCACTGTCGACTGTTTCGCGGACACCTGGTTTCCTGGAACCAGTGGTGCGGGTCAGCTGGTAGAGTTTGCGATAGTCCCATATTGCTCCTGCCGCCTCCATTTTTGGGTCCTATTGGCCCACCAGCCTTCCTTGTTAACACACTGACTCCGCCTAATACTCCGTCTGGTCACCTCGTGCTCAGATGCAGCCGGGAGCTTTCTTGTGGACTCCAAATGGTTCACCAACCTCTCGGATATCCAATGATTAGTGCCGTGACGATTGATAGTACCACAAGCAGATGTTCCTGCGTCGTGCGTCCACTGGAGCTCAGTGTCATTAGGATAAGGGAGCAAAAGTTCGGTACGCAGTGCAGCTTAGTTGGCCTACCTGATCGAGGGCTGGGATAATTTCTGTTGCCAATCGGAGGAGAGGCTTGGTGCGCCTCCCAGTAAAAGTAGGGAAAACGACAGCGTACCAAGGCATGATCAGAGTCGACGCAAGTACTCCAGAACGAGCGACAATCCAGGATGGAACCACGCCACCTGTAACTTATGGCAATGTGATCTATTTGGGTCCATCGCTGGCCAGCTACAGGAGGACGCCAAGTGGCACTTCGGCGCCCACTGTGTCTAAAAGCAGTGCTACTAAGAAACAGCTGGTGCTCCGCACACAGTTGCAACAGACGCTCGCCGTTGTCCGTCCGGTCGGAGTTAAGCCCATAATTACCACCTAGCTGAGCTTCTGAAGAGCCCAGGCGACCTACTTGTGCATTCATATCCCCTGCAAGTACTATGATATCTGAACTGGTAGCACTGCGTAGTAGCGTGTTCAGTTCGTGGTAGAATGTGTCCTTGGCAGCATCAGAACTGCAGTCGGTGGGAGCATAAGCGGAAACCACAAACAAACAGCGTCTTGTACTACTTCGTGAATCAACCTTAGTTGATGTCGTCAAACGGGCTGCACACAAACGGCTGTTCACCGGAATCCAATCAACCAACGATGACTCAGCCTTGGAGCTGAGAACGATACCTACTCCAGCTTGACCAGTGGCTGCCGCATCAGTGTCTCCGGATGCGTGCAACCAATAGCGAGAGGACAAGCCGGGCGCAGTTAATTCAACAACCCCGTGAGGGTCATTGATCCTAGTTTCGGATACGCAACACACGTCAATACCCAGTGTGTCCAACGTGCGTGCGAGTGCAGCCTGTTGACCTATTTGTCTTAGAGTGCGAACGTTGAACGCCGCCAGGGAAACGGGACAGCGTGGCCTTATAAGGGACTGTTGCCGATAGGCGTCCAGTGGGTGGTGCGGGAAGGTAGCTGCAGATGGTTCGACTCCAGTGGCATTACGGCTGCTGTCAATTAAGCTGGGAATTATAGAAGGAAGGTTAGTAATGGGGTTGGGAGGGGAGTAAGAGAAACAGGTGGAAAAGAAAGAAGGGAGGCGCCAGCAGTAGCATGTTTTCGCTTATCCACCCTGTTGTATGCAGCAGATAAGGCGATCCTTGATAATCTGCGCGACGGCCAATGCAGGATGTAGTTAACGTTTGAGGGAATTGTCATGGTTGTATGTGGGCTGAGATACTGCCAGGGCGTTCGACCGTAGACAGGGGGACGATTAAGGTCTTCAACCAAAGGCTTTTGCTCAAGAACCTGTCTGCAAGGCAGCAGGGAGATGGCAATAGTTTCGTTTTTCAGAAATGGACGCCACCCGATTTCAAAATCCTAACCGTGAGGACCAGGAGACTGAGTTTGTCTGACTTCTAACCATTGGCCAACCTGGTAGGAGTAGCTCCCAAGCTGCCCGAAGGCACCTCCCAGTATAGCTCAATGTGTGCAGGAGGTACGCAAACCGTCACACTACGTTAAGATCCAGTCTCGTTGCAATCAACAGTCGAAGGCGGCTCTCCGACCAAGGAAGACCACTCTGGTCGGTCGTCTGTTTGTCTCTCTAATACTTGACAACCGTGATCAGGACGGAAGCCAGCCTTTCGATTACTCGGTCCTTATGAGGACCGGTAAGTCCTCGAAAATGATTCCAGCGACAAGTTCGGGGTCAATAGGAAAAAAGACTAAAGCCTCGGTGGTTTTGCACAAATCTTGCCGGCCCTTTTTTTGCTAGGGTCCACAGTCTGAAGGCACCTCTTCAGTGTCCTAAATGGTGTTGAATAGAGCAGCAAGTCCAGTCAGCTATGTCTCTCCATCTTTCAGCAAAGGTCGTCGGGTCCAGGAGCCCTGTTTCTTCGTACAGTGTAGTTGCTTGCGTTAAGGTTTCAACCATAATCATTTACATGCACTCGTCTCGCGCACACATAAGCCAACTTCGCCGGAATCTTTCAGTGCTTGAACAGTGCAATCGGCTTGTCGCGACTCCAAATGGCGGCAAATTGGCCGCCACGATACACAAATGAAGTCCACGTTTTCCCTTGCTACCAGTTCGTTATATATGCGACTAACCATTTTGATATTACCGATTGTCATTCCTCATGATCGACGGGCCTCGTGCTATCCATCGCTACGAGACAGGACCTTAACCTGCTGCGATGGTTTGTGTGCCTCAGTGAGCTATGCTGGGTGGTGCTTTTTGCACCTTCAGAGCCACTCATACCAGATTGGTCAATGGTTAGGGGCCAGACTAACTCAATCTTTTGGCACTCCAGATTGGGGGTTGGAGTAAGGGTGATTCCTTACTCCATAGAACGGACTCTCTGTAGCCCAGTGCCAATAAACCGCTGCTTTGCGGTAAGGTTTTTGAACCAAAGGCGCTGGTTGGTCGAGATAAATGGAAATCCTCACACCGAAGTTGGCGTCGGTTGTTGCATCCCGACTACCTGGCTGGGGTCCCAAGAACGATGAAACACACTCGCTGATATGGCGAGCAGCTAGCGTTTGTGTTGTGTGTTTCTTTGTCCATCCCCCTCCCCTCTATATTGTCGCTCCAATTACTATCTTATACGAAATGCCGATTAGAATATTCTACATTATATTACTTAATTTTTGACTTCTTTGTAGTGTTATTCTTAGTACCTTGTCTTTTTGTATTAAAGCACATTAGCTGATGTGTGTTTTTCACTTTCAGCTAACCTCTATTGATGATAATGATGATGATAATGCCGTGTGCCATTGTTTTCAGGAGCTAACCGAGGTCCGACGGCGTATAGATCGCGCTCCTCAAGCGCTGTGCTCCTATGGCACTCCACCAGCTGAATTAAAGGACACGGATGCTGTCGTTGGTGACAATGTTGCCTATATCACATTCGGTAAGCAAACACTTTTCTATATTTTGCGTTTGCCATGCTCCATGGTTTTACATAACGTCTCTTCTTCATAGATCTTCGATATTATGTTCTCTTTGCAGATTCGAATTTTATTCATGTTCACATAACTTCTTAGTGTCGGCCTCAGAAAGCACCTTCTGATTATCCACATCGTATTTACTGGTGGCCTCGTGGCTTTTGTTCTGACGACGGTGAAAACTGGGACTATTGTCTTGCTACCTGAAAGTTTTTATTCATCCTCTTGGTCTGTTGCGATTGTCTTTACGCACTGTTTCATTTAGATACACCTATATTTAGAACATGTGGAAGGGTTACAGGATAAGACAGCGTTTTCGCGAGCCAACACGATGTATGCAGACGGGGTCATGATGGAGAACGCCATCTTTCCAGATGTCGTTAATGATGACAACGCGCACCGAATCCTGCACTCTTCCATATTCTTCCTCTTCTCTGCTATAGATCCACCTAGACCTAGACTCTGTCAGCTGACGTCCAGCATTTCGACCCAACTGATGAGAGAAGCATAAAATTGACATCGATTATCAAGTTTAGCGAATTGAAATTAAGGATAGATTTTCCTGTTGAACAATTGTGGACAGCGTATCAAAAAGTATATTTGGTGTTGCCCGAAAACACTGCTTCGGCACGATCCCAGTGATCGCAGTGACCTGGGTTCACTCCATTGTGAATCGTGGTCCAAACGCAGGTTGCGAGTCTCAATGCAGTCACACAAGGCGTAGCCCAAAATTCACCCTCCAAGAAGTTTATTTATTTATTTAAGAGTTTTAGTGGCTATTCATTCTAGACATTAATCCAAACTGAATTCACGGTCTTTAAGCTTTTTAGAAACAAAATCTCTACCTGTTTTCAGATTTTGGAGCACCCGCCGCGTATTTTGGATTGCGACACGCAATCTCAATCGTTGCCTCGGTTGATTTTGAAGTCAGCCTCTGCCAATACGGTCACTGGGACCGTCACCGAAGTGGAGGGTTTTGGCATAGTTCTCTTCCATCCCATGACCACTACGCCATTGAGCTCCGCGAGCAATGCTTGGCGATTGCCGCCAAGCACTATGCGCGGAGCTCCACTCCCAACTCGGCTATCTCTACCTGATGGGTCTAAACCAAGACGAAACGGTCGGTCGTGGAGTGCAGAGATGGGAGAGAGCCACAATAAAAATTACCTGTTCGTCGGACACCACATCTGACTTCGATTTTCACCTTCAATTGCATCCCTTTTCACTATGGTATAGAAACCATCAACTCGACACAGGTCGGTTGGTGGCTATGGTCAACTGCACCACGAATTTATCTGTACCCCATTTTTGAGATCCAGTGTTACTAGCTTCTCGCTAGCGGATCCCCGATGTTTGTCTGATGCGGCAGTTGGTCACCTCACACCCGGCTGATTTCCCGTCATGAGTGCCACATTCGTAGACTGCACGTACCATTTACGTATAAGACGTCATCCGCATGCTTGGATTTCACTGTCCTTCGGATGCGGCTAATTTTATTTCGGTCTTCTAATCTTTATTTTATGAGTTCACTCATTTCATATAATCTATGAAGTTCGCGATTTGCTGTCTAAATATGTCTCATTTACCCGCTTGCCAACTAATACCTGTCCGAAAGTGGGACGCACTTGTCTGTGTGCGACATCTTCGCTAGCTATACGTCAATCTTATCACTCATTTTATTTCAGTGCTCTTCCCACGCCATCTCACTCCGACCGCCGCACCTCGCACAATCAATCTGATGTATTCTCTGCGCAATTACCTGCATTACCACATCAAATGCGCCAAAGGCTACGTCCATCGACGCATGCGTACAAAAGCCACGGAATTTGTCAAAATCCTCAACAGAGCTCGACCGCAGTACTCCACTGTCCCGGTGATTCAGTTGAGTGTGTTACCCAGCAGGTTCCCTTCCACCACCAGCTTCGCCAGCCTCTACAGTAGCGAAGGAGACGGCGATTTGGCTGACGCGACAAGTCCCAATGGAATGTCAAAGGAGACATCGCCTGAATTACCTTGTGTACCGGACTTTACCGCTATGAATGGTTATGTCTGACGCCAATGATCTCTTTCAGAACCGATTCTTTGGTTTGGATCCTTCCGAACCTCTTGTGCATTTATAGATTAACCCTTAGATGCCAATATCCGTTTGTCTTCCCGAGTTTCGCTTTTGTTTCTTGGTTCATGTACCACGAACACGATGTTAGAACTTCATGTCAGACCATTCTTTCGTGAGTATATTCAGTCACCGTGTTTAGTCCTTTTTGCGATAACACCGCATTCGACAACTTTTCTCTTCTTTCATGGATTGCGCTGCTTACGGTAAACCATATCAAATATACCACTTATTTCGCTGAAACTCGCCTGTTTGCTCATCTCGACGTCAAAGTGGAATGTGTTGCTGCAATGACAAACTTGCGAACCTTTAGTTATACAAAGCGGTCGGTCAACTTATATGCGCGGTCGCACCAGCGAAGGCGTGAATGACTGTTGATACCGGTTAACGTATCGACAATGTGAGTGCAGTACAATTCTGCAGAAGTTGTGGCATCAGCTATGTGCCCATCATGGTCCGGACAGTTGTATGTACAAGGCAGCAGCATGGAAAAGCCGGGTATTTTTCTGAAGACCTCGGCCCTTTGGTCGTAGTGCTTAAGTACTCAGCCGCACGGGATATAATTAAAGCCCGATTATCGCAATCCAAACACACTACATAGCCCGAAGTAAAAAGTTACCAAAAGCGAGGCTTATTTGAATAGCAAACAGAATGCAGAGATTCCAACAACTCGGACTTGCGGTACGTAGGTTCAAGTAAAATGCTCGACGAGTTAACTTAGACATAACTGTAGCGAACTAGGAATAAGTAAACGGGCGCGCAGATCGTCCGTTAGTGTGAGAAATGAATGCTGACCAGGAATTCGCTCATTTCAACTTTAATATCACCATGTAGTCGCCCATTTTGCACCGTACAAGATGCACGGCGGGACAATGGTCTCTGGTGCTGCTGCTTACGTCTCTGAACAATAGATTTGAAGTACACGTCCATCGTGAAATATGACCACATAGTGAAGCAAGGGATGCTGAAGAAAAACTACCCGACAAATGCTGCCGCATCATCAAGTGGTGATTGTGCGTTGGTCAAAGCGCTGCTTAAAGGTAACCAGCTTGTCATGTAATCTGACGGCGCGGGCTCGAACGTGCGCACAGGCACGGCGACTTTCGCAGTATTCTTAGCCTACATGCGACCGGGGGTGGTTGCACGGCAGCGAAGCGTACCGCCGATACCTCTCCAGATCAATGATTACTCCACGCTCTATCTTAGCTCAGCTAGTACTGCGTTCGCTAATGTCTAAAACAAACCACATCGCTTCGGTGCAAATGGAAAAGTTGTATTCATTGTCAAATATCACATTACCCTCACAGCTGACTGCTGTGTGTAGATTGGTAATCGTCCAGCGACACAAGCACACCGTTTCCGAGTAGTAGCACAAATGCCTGTACTGTGCGATCACGAAAATCTCGGTGTTCCGTGTGGCAAATTACGATGTGCATCGGATTCCGATGGGACATTCACTAAACAAGACTTTTTCTAATAAAAAGACAGAAGTACACCGGTAGGCAGTGCCACTGTCACGCAACCACCACCAATCGCGCGCTAGCTAAGGGTACTACGAGGGTCGCCCGGTTTCATACGCAGGCTCGAACGAGTAACGTCCGGGTTGCAAGGCAAACATGTGGTCCTTTCGGCCACTGGCCAGCATGAATGCGACACCGTCACAAAAGAGCTATCCACACGCCAGCTCAAGCAATGTGTTTGGTGAACACAGGGGCGCAGCGCCGCCCGTGCCGATCAGTCGATGCGACATTCCTCTCAAATGCTAGTACACAACAAAACCACTGTAAAAATGTTTTGTATTCTTCGGCTTTATAAAGCGTTGTAAAGATGATAGAAAACCACCTCCGTTTCACCCAAGGAACATAGAAACTTTGGACAGAATCTCACAGGCCACGATGATCTCTCTGAATCCGGACAGCGTATCCAAAAATGGGTCAGTAGACCGCTGTTGTGTTTCGACTGAGGCTATGAATGTGAACAATGAAGTAGGTGATTAGAATTGCCATAAAGGTTCTTTTTTCTATAACAATAGCCACATACTGACTGAGGCCGCTACAACACAGCCTGGTGAGAAGTACTAAGAGGATGGCAAGATGCTGACGAGCTTCTATGCTTTCAGTGGTGGGCTCGCAATTCGATGACACACACTCTCTCCACGCATAGTGACGGTGGCTTCAGCTTGTCGCTTCTTGACGAGTGCTGCATATCTGACGTATCTCCAAGTACCCATAGAAAGCCCAGTGAGACTGCAATAAGTAGAGTCTAGATAGAGCAATGTCGGCCGGTGGCCGAGTGGTCTGCACGCTTGCTTTGCAACCATAAGGTCACCGGTTCGAATCCGTGTGGGGGTGGGCGTCCTCGCGGTATACTCAGCCCGCGCGCGACTAGTGGTGGTCGCGTGGCAGCGAGGCGCCGTTACGGCGTACAGCTGACACATCATTATTATTATTAGATAGAGCAATGCACTGGAACATCTTAAGGTAATAACTAGTCATCGGCGAATGTGATCAGTGGAGGCAACAACCTGGAGAAATTCAAGTCAAAGTTATCTTGACTTGACTTGAACATCAGGAATGGTGTTAATAAATCGGAGGAAATGCAAAGGCTCGATAGTAAACATACAACTCGATAAGGGTGAGAAAAAGCAAGGCATCCCTTTATGGCAGGGATGTCCAACGTCCGGCCCGCGCTCTCATCATGAAATAGTAAATTTAGGCTTGGATTTTTTTCGTACATGTGTACTTTTTGTTATTACCTTAATGTAAGACTGGATATGGCTCGATACATTTTTGTCTCACAAATGTAACCCTCCTTTCAAAAAGTTTGGACACCCCTGCATTATGGTAACTACCTCGCTCCTCAATTCGCAACACGAATAGAACGGAGATAAGTTCGGTTGGCTTCCGTGACACTATCGCTTTCATCTGAACATACAACATTGACGCGTGTCCCTTTTCATCAGAACAAAACATTCCATTCCACTGCCTTGTGCCCTACGTGTTCTCCAAGCTCATCACATCTGAACAGCTCCGTATTTCTCCGATCAGCTTATGATCTCTACCCTATACATGATTGCACCATCATGATTTATACCTATGCAGGTGTGCATCGCGCTGCCGAGAATAAACAATTTATTTATCATTGTCAGTCTTTGTTGCAAGCCAGGCCGTAGTTACATAGCGTCGCAGATAAATGTGCGATTCACAATGCCGTTAGGCTTTCCAGTGCTGACGGCCAAACGCGTTAAGTCACGGAGGAAGGGGAGCGTAAGCAGAAAGAAAATGATTGAGTTAACCATCTTTTATTAAGAGTGAGCTGAAAAATCGAAAAGAGATCAATCACGGTAGCGATGAAATCAAGCGAGAATCGTAGGGTACACAAAAGTTTGGGGAGTGGGTGGGAGAGCGATCAGTGTTCAATAAAAAGATAATGAAAAAATCAGTAGCAAAAGAGCACAGCCAAAACAGATATAGGTTAACAAGAGTGGTTGGTTGTCAAAATACAGCGGGTTGGATAGACGGCGTGGCCAGTTTCTTGTGGGCGCTGAGGTCCTTTGTGTTATGAGCCATCACCGATTTAGCTGACTCGAGAAGACCGGCTGAGAAAAATGTATATGCAGATAGAAATTTGTGAATTGGGGAAGTAGTAACAGAGATGGGTGATTGTGAATTTTAGAACACCCAGTGTCTAAGAGAATACTGTCAGTCGCATGCACTTCTAGAGGTTGCGAAAACACAGATCAATATTTCAGAAACAATTAGATGGTGTAGATCACTAACACCTAAACCGGAAATTATGCACCGACCCTCTTTTCAGGTTCAATATCACAAAAGATCTTACATCCTTAATGCGGTAATGAAAAAGCGAAAGACTAATAAATGCAGCATACTTGACAGAAGCTTCAGCAGAACCGACGGGCTTCACGAGGATGTCTCCAATCGGGGAGACGTTTATTACAGCGTGTTCGGATTTTTCCAAATGAGCCCGATTGATGATTTTGAGGAAGTCAACGGTCTTGGCGCGCATCCGCATTTGAATGTAGGCTTTCGAACATTGGATATGGTAGTGCAAATAGTTCCGTAGAGTATGGATGAGATCTAGGGACTTTTCACGGACGCTTCCAGGAGCAAGATGCCTGGGATTCAACACTAAAATGGTAAAAGACAAATATGGATCACAAAACGGAAGTACGCACGCTGGAATACATCGACAACTACTCACCTACAAGTATCCGTTTGCAGTGCAATACTAAGAAGCCCCTTATTGGGTTAGACAATTCACCATCATTATTTCATTATTAGATGTTAGCCAAAGGTGAGAAACGCCTCAGCCATTGTGCTGCAATACAAAAACATACTGTTTTAAAAAGCGAGATACTGATCATTAAATAATAAAACCCAAAACTAGTAATATATTATGCATCAAGACTGAGATCGTAGTTGGAGGGGAAGCGAAGCGGAAGGGGTAGAGAAACTTTACAAATCCATTGAAGCCGGCTCTCCACCATGCAAAGTGTTCATCGTCCCTCGGACCCGAGCCTGGCAGTTGGGAGTAATCAAACGACGTAAAATTTTAAGTGGGGATTTTCATTCCTAATGACTACGTCATCACTTTGGCTCTTCTCGTCTTACGGTGTACGGTGGGGCCTTCAAATCGGCCGTTGCTGTTCTCATTGAGAAACGATTATTACGCTAACTACCACGAATCTATTCAGTTCACAAAACGCTTTTGTCATTTGTTTATCTGAACTATTTCGCGACCACGATGTTGTCCTATTTCATCAACACTTTGAAATATCTCTGGGATACTGCTTTGTATCCGCGCATCGTTTAATATACCAACAAAGTACGAGATACCTCCAAACGAGTCATGAGAAAACGTTCAGATAAAGTGAAGAAACCATGCTGACTAGCATGTCGGGTCCTAGACGTCGTTTAGTTAATAAGACACAAATAATACTAATCCTATCCAGGGATATTTGATCCTTCCTTGAAAAATTGTGGATCTTGCCTGTTGTTATACGGCAAAAATGAATATTCGGTTGCAGTCATTTTGCTACTTCAAGAAAGCTGGTTACATTAAGAAGTAGAAGACGATGTTACTAAGCTTGCCCTAGAATTCTCCAAAAGCGTAGAGGTTGTTATCACCTACGTCAATCGATGCTGGTGTAACTCATCTGTCATATTTTTTTTACCTACTTAACAGTCGTAATAAGCTGCCATTTGATTTAATGTAACTCAAAATTTTAAGTGGTTTTATTTCTGTTATTATTTGGAGTGTATACAAATCCACAGGATGCTTCTTCACCGAAGTTGGACTGAAGCGACTTTCACTTAAACTAGATCTTTTCGATCTAGATCAGTTATTCTACTTCATTGGATTTGTTCAGTTCCGTTCTTTTGCCACATAATCTGTGTCAGTTTTGCGTGTTTGCTTTTCCTTAAATTCGATGTTGATTGTTTGATATCCCCCGTGTGGCTGCACTTGATGTGTATGCTGACAAAATGCCTACCTGTCTAAAATCCTCCAACTTGATTACTGGGTCCAGGAAACTGTGAATTGTTGCTGGGGGGTGGGGGGAAGGCGGAGTGCACAGTCCTCGTGGCCGTACTAGGCTCAAAGGGTGGTTCCATCCAGTGTGGAGCGGACTGCGGTCTAGCCACCGCCTTGTGTACGTCTGGTACGCATGCTTCCCACAGAGATGGACAGGAATGCTGATGCTATGCATGTTGAAGGAGTGTGGGTCGGCTCCGTTGATGAAACGTGGCACCCATCCACATGCCTCCCGGTAATACCCTTTCGGGTTTACACTGGATGTGGGGTGTGTGGATGGAGCTGTGGGTGGTGCAGCGCAAGCTACTTATGATCGCCCTGTAGGCACAGGCGTCCCATGACTGTCTCCGTGGAGGCCGCAGTGACAGGCACATCCGGAACCGGATGCTGCCAACCATACATATCCCCCGACACACAAGCATCGAAGTTAAAGAAAATTTGCAGATGATCTATCCGGCATCACTGCCGAAACTTGGTCGCCCAGCTTGTGTCATCATCGGGGACTCTAATAAAAGTGACAACTCATCCATCAGAACACTAACATAGTGGCCTTTCCGATGAGACTTGAAGCGCAACTTGATTTCGTCTTCACAAATCATATTTGGCTGTATTCTGCGTAGAAACGTGCCCCACCCAGCAACTCCAAACATTGTATGCCCTATCGTTTATTGTAAGACTTTTCCGGTTCATTGGCTAATAAGCTTTTCAAAAATGAGGCGACGAGACTGTTCATCATCCGATATTGTGAGACACCACACCCCGGTCGAAACCAACTACTTACGAGTAAATAGATTATCCTCATTATTATTCAAACAACAGAAGGAAAAAGAACAAGCTTACAAATGTAAGATGATTGCCCGTGTCAAACAACTCTCTCTAAAAATCAAAACTGAGATTTCGTGGTTGAATAACTTATATATCGAAGCCGTTTTATGAAACCACAACTGCCGAAACCTGTGGAGACTTTTAAAACAGCTATGCGGTGATAGCTCCAGTAAGCAGCTTGGATCTGTGGATATTAAAAAGAAACTCAGTACTGAGTTATGTTCTTCTTCTTCACAGGAAGCATCCTCCTCCCCTTCATTCTCTGGCTCTTGTTCAAAACTTACATTCTAACACGTTGAGGTTCGCCGCAAACTCAGGGATCTGAACTCAAAGAAGGCTAGTAGGCCCGATGCTCTTTCACCAGTTGTCTTGGAAGAATGTGCCGATACCCTCATCATGCTCTTGCATCTTTCAAATCGATGCCTACACGGTAGAATTATTCCCGATATTTGGATACCTGTCGAGATTACGCTAGTGCCAAACGGATCTAAGAAAGTCCATCTGATCGCCTGTACGTCTGTCATGCTGAAAGTCTTCGAGCGATTATGTCTTGGATCACAACAAGCAGTCCGGCCGTGGACGTATCGCAGTTTGCGTATAGAACCCGAAGTTCCATGTTGGATACCGTAGCATACCTTGTTCACTCAGTAGCATCTTCATCGAATGCGACATGCAAGATTGTGTGGCCCATCTTCCGTGAGTATACTAACGCTTTTGGAGATGTTGACAGATCAATCCTGCTTAATTATCTGTCTGCGAATGGTGTTCAATCAGCAGTGTGCAACCTAATGAGCAATACTACGTAAGGCGACCTCATTTACTTCCCCCTTAGTAATGACTGGGACATCTTACAAGGGACAATCTTTCGCTGTTATTCTCTCTATACATCGAAATGCTTCCCATTTCACCCGACTTGATTGGATGTAAGTACGCTGGCGACGTAGTTCTAGACAGTATTCCTTCAACTGCTGTATCAACGGCTGTCCAAAGCGGATTGAATGAGTTTCAGCAGTGGTCGTCGTCTCGATCCCTTATTCTAAATGCAGCGTTGTAACTTTCTCTTTTCTCCGCACTGACAAACGTCAGACGTTGGTGAACACTTCTCGTCCCACAACATATCCAGTTCATCCACCGTTAAGTACCTTGGTGTATAATTATCTCACACTCTATCTTGGTCTGCACACGTTAACGAAACGTTCCGCAAGGTGCGAAAATCAGCATTTTACACCCTGAGAATCAAAGTGCTTTCAGTACCCTGCTCTTTAATTTACAAATTCGTGGCTGCCTGTATTCTTCCCCAATGGCTATATTTCTCACCCATCACTTTTACTGGATTTCTACAAAATTCTTCACTGATGGTGCGTTTCATTAAGCTCATTTCCAGGTGTAGTGGATTGCTCATTGTCTCTGGTTGACATCATGGTACAAAGCAGTTTGGTGCATGTGACAGCTTTTCATTAAAGGTTTTAAATGACTGTTTTCACCCCCTTCACGCTTATGTATCAAAAGTTCTCTCCTGCTCGTCTACCTGCTTTGAATTTCGGGGTTGTTTTCTTGTTATCATAACTCTGCCGTAGTTAGCACGTTTTCTTGTGGATCACAAGAATATTAGCAATATCGCACGTGCACCTTTAGTTGAGTCATGTGCAAGCATATTGTCTTCTTTTTACGCTTTGATTGCAATTTCATGCCAATGGTGTGCCTCATTACATACGCAATGCGTGTGCAGTGCTGAAAACGTTCCCAGTTGGGTTCATAGAGCCTATTTTGAATTGTGACTTCTATCCACACCCCGGTCGCGTAAACAATGCACATCGCAGAAGTCAGTGTGAAGGCATGCGCAACACGTGGCCCAGCCATCGGAGCCCTGTGCGTGATATAACGGTGTAGAGCGGCTCACTCGCTCTTTTTGCACCAAATACGAGACGCAGAAATAAGCTCATTGCTCACGCAGTTTTTCTAACAGACGTGACCTGAGGTACTAAGGTAGCGATGGTCGAACGTCTGTCGATTTGATAGACGGTGTTTCACAATCGTTCATTGCAACGAGACTGGGTCTTAATGAGGTGCGACGGTTTGGGTACCTCGTAAACCAAATGAGCTATACTGGGTGGTGCCCCCTGGCCCTTGGAGTGCTACTCCTACTAGGTTGGTCAATGGTTAGAGGTCAGACAAACTCAAGCGCTTGGTCTTCCATGTTGGGGGTTGAAAATGAGATGACGTCCATTTCTGTAAAAATCAAATCTTTATCACCTCTCCGCTGCGTTGCGAAAAGGCTTTTGAGCCAACGGCTTTGTTTGAGGACCCTAATCGTCCTCCTGTTTGTGTCAGGACGTCCATGTACAACCATGGATTGCTTCAAATTTCAATCATATCCTGCATCGGCCGTCGAGCAGCTTGTCATGGGTTGCCTTAAATGCTGCATACAACAGGGCAGATAGGCGAGAACATAGTACCACAAGCGCCTCCTTTCTTTTCCACCTGTTTTCTTACTTCCCTCACAACCCTCATTACTAACCTTCCTTCCATAGTTCCCGGCTTAATTGGCAGCAGCCAGAATGCCAGTGAATTCATACCAGCTGCAGCTTTCTTCCCGCAATCCCACGCTGTCCCATTTCGTTGGCGGCGTTCAACGTTCGCACTCTAAGACACTAACACGCACGTTAGGCACCCTGGGTATTGACGTGTGTTGCATGTCCGAAACCAGGACCAATGACCCTCACGTGGCTGTTGAAGTAAGTGCACCCAGCTTGTCCTCCCGCTATTGGTT